GGGGGGGGGGGGGGGGGGACTCAGCTCAGTTCTGGCCTTGAAGGGCAGCTGTGCTGTCACAAGAGCAGATGAGCTGACCTGGTGTGGGGAGATTTTGAGATAGTAGTCCCATTGGTCCAGCCTGGTCTATAAGTGATGGAGACTAGAGCCCTGGGGGGATACCGACCTCCTCAGTTGCTGGGGGACATGCTGCTTATCTAAGCTAAATATTGGAGAGAGAGAGGGACAAAGAGAGGAGAGAAAAGATATGTGCATGGAATGGACAGAGTGACTGGTGAGAAAGGTTGGAGAGAGAAGTTAAGTGTGTGGAGAAGTTGTTGGTTCCTGGTCAGGAAGGGAGAAGAAAGGTCCAAGGCTGGCTTCCTGGGAAGGGAAGGCCCAGAGGGATGAGAGCTCCACCCAAGACCTAAGAACGGGAAGGAGGGACCTGGCTGGCTGTAGGTAGGTGGCTTCACCCAAGACCTCAGAGTGGAAGGAAGAGACCGGCTATCAGTGAAGAAGCCCTGGTCTCTGGGGAAAGATTGGGCAGAAGACCCTGAGAGTGGTTCTTCCCCCAGTGGAGAAACAGTAGGTGTTCGGCTAAGCAGGAGGAGGTCAGGTCATTCTGAGCACATTGCAGTAAATTCCAGCCCTGCTGTTCTTTTCACTCTCTTGTCAAGCCCAGAAACAGAGGTGGAGACAGAAAGGGGGAGGAAACAGGGGAAATAGAGTGGGATAGTCTCTAGAAGGGAGGCTTAGGAAAATTATACAAACTGCTTTGAATTATTTGTGTATATATGCAGAATAATATTGTGCTATGAAAATACTTCAGTTAGTTGATACAGTAACTGAATGGTGCTATATAAAGTGAGCTGAATTGATGACCCTAAATATGATAATTACCTCCATTTTTTGAAATCTATTTTAAGGACAGCCCTTTTTTTCTTCTGCAGACTGATTTTCTTTTGGTAGTTCTGCGGGATGTTGTTCAAGCCTATCCTGAAATCCGGGTTATCCTCATGTCTGCCACCATTGATACCAGCATGTTCTGTGAATATTTCTTTAACTGCCCCATTATTGAAGTCTTTGGTAGAACCTACCCAGTTCAAGGTAAATCTCTGCCTAGTGGAACATTCAAAACATTTTCCTGTTTCTTTTTTGTGGAATAGAGAAAGTTGAGCCATTTATTGTGTGATTAAAATGTTAGTAGAGACCTGATGTGGTTACTTTTTTTAATGCCAAACGTAGGGCCGGGAAGATTGAAAAGAATGATTTAAAATATATATTATACAAAAAACCTATTAAAGAGATTTTTCTTCATTGGTGAAGGAAAAAAATAGGCTTCTGAAATATTACTTTTATAATGCTTGTGAGCGTTTTGTTATGAGCCTTCAACTTCAGGATTTTGAGGGTTACCTATGCACGATTTTGTTGCTGAGTGAAAAAGTTGGGTGAAAGAGTACTGAGTGCTCCAGGAGGAAATGCAAGATATAAATCTAACAAATATGCAGTCTTGTTGGAAATCCCAGCAGAAACTGGCACTTAGCTGATCAGATGATTTCTACAGTAACCTTACTCTTCTGGTTTTAGAATATTTTCTGGAAGACTGTATTCAAATGACTAAATTTGTTCCTCCACCGAAGGATAAGAAAAAGAAAGATAAGGATGAAGAAGGTGGTGAAGATGATGACGTATGTATGCTGTTAAGGATTTTTAGTCCAAATAAAATGTCAATATTGCTTATAAAAGCTAGAATTATAATGATAAAGCATGCATGGTTATATATCTTTTATAACAGTATATGTCTTTGTTTGTATAGTGCTTCGAACTTTATTATTCCTTACTATACTAAGCAAAATAAAATATATACTGTTTCCATTTGAGAAATAAGGCCTTTTATAATGAACTACACCAGGACTTATGATGATTACTTTGAGTCGATCATTGCAGTCCTTTTGGAGTGCTCATGTGTCTTTCTACTTTCCCAATCTCCCAGCAATGATCTGCATAACAGTACTGTTGTTAGTGAGGAGTCTGCCGTGTGCCATATATAAAATTTTCTTCTAGGCGAATTGCAACCTTATCTGTAGTGATGAATATGGCCCAGAAACAAAACACCGCATGTCCCAGCTGAATGAGAAGGAAACTCCTTTTGAACTCATTGAGGCTTTGTTGAAATATATTGAGACCCTGAATGTCGCAGGAGCAGTCCTTGTCTTCTTGCCTGGCTGGAATCTGATATACACCATGCAGAAATACCTGGAAATGAATCCACACTTCGGTACAAGCAATTTTCAGCTATATTTTTTCCTTTTCCATTTCCTTTTCCATTTCATTTTCCTTTTCCCCTTTGCTTTCCTTTTTTTTTTTCTCCTGAGGTGACCATAAAGCTGAAAGAGCTTTCTTTATGTATGGAGAAGTGAATTGCTGAAAAGAATATATAATATTTAAAATAGGAGCTGTCCAAATGAAATAAGCTTGCTTAAAATGTTTTCCTCCTTCTATTCTTACTGTAGGAAGCCAGAGATACAGAATTCTTCCTCTGCATTCCCAGATTCCCCGGGAAGAGCAGCGCAAAGTATTTGATCCAGTGGGCCCTGGAATGACCAAGGTGAACCTCTTGGAGTGGCTGTAGCTCAGCCATTTCCAACTTGCTGCCTTCCAGATGTGTTATAATTGCTATTCCGACTGGCATTGGGGAGTTGTAATCCCAGCACATTTGGAGAGTTCAGATGTGAGGGTACATTTGTGAATACAGCCTTGGAATTCAGCATACAATGTTGTTTGTCTCTTTAGGTGATCTTATCCACCAACATTGCAGAGACCAGCATAACCATCAATGATGTAGTCTATGTTATTGATTCTTGCAAGTGAGTTGTTGTTTCTCTACTTCTCTACTTTACTGAGCTGCAAATAATGTTACCATCTATTTTCTCCTCTGCTTGAAAAAAAGTCTTTAAAGTCCAAGACACTTTTTCATATGGGAAAACTGCAGTTTACATTTTTTGCTATAGGAGTTTAGGGATTAATAATTCCCAGTCATTTACAAGCAAGCTGTTGGCCTTCATCAGGGAGACTGTGCTTTCCTGAAGTCTGTAGGAGTGATTTAGACTTACAGGCATGGTATGTTTTGATCTGTTTGCTTTTGATAGATTAACAGAATTCCCAAAGTGTTGGGAATGATAGAGTGTGAGAATTAGAGGAAACACCATGCATCCTATTAAGACATTTCTTGGGGCAGGTGCATGTAGAATGGATAATACTTGCTAGTGGACAATTAGTAAAGATGAGACAGTAGGACAACCAAGAATAATAGTGAAATGAGGGAAAAGTGGGAAATTTTGAAATTCAGTTTTGAAATTCATGCTTGTCTTCTTCCAGTCCAGCTTCTTATATGCTCTGCATGTAACTGCCCAGAGTTGCTGAGAGTTTGGTAGCATATATATTTAATAGATGATGATGGTGATGGTGATGGTGATGGTGATGATGGTGATGCAAGCTGAATAAGGGAGTGAGCATGCAGCCTTGTCTTACTCCTTTGCCAATTTGGTATAGTCTGTTTCACCATGTTCTGTCCTAATTGTGGCTTTCTGCCCTGTGTATAGGTTTCTCATTAGAACAATGAGATGTTCTGATACCCCCATTTTCCTGATGACATTCCACAACTTGTCATGGTCAACACAGTCAAGTCCTTTTCTATAGCTGATGAAGGACATGTTGACAACTTTTTGGTATTCTCTGGCTTTCTCAATTATTAAACATGTTAGCAATAGTGATTCTTGTTCCTCAGCCTTTTCTGAAACAAGCTTGAACAATAGGCATTTCTGTTTCCATATAGGGCTCTAATCTGTGTTGGATGTTCCTGAGTATTATCTTCCTAGTATGTGAAATTAAGGATATTGTGCAATAGTTTTCACAGTCTATTAAGTATCCTTTTTTTGGTACTGATATGTAGACTTTCAATTTGTTGGCCACTGTGTTGTTTCTCAGATTGCTGGTATAATTTGATTCGAGCCTTAAGTGAGTCTTTTATGTGCCCTATTTTTGTAGACAATACGTCAATTCCTGTAGCCTTCCTACTTGGTAATGAGCAGAGTGCTAATCCAACTTTATCTTCCAACACTAGAGATTGTTGCCTGTAGCAACAGTCTTCAAAAGTATCTTGGAAGTTGGCATCTCTACTGTACAGTAGAGTATTATACTTCTGTCTCTGAGCTTTTCTCTGTTAACCATCTGTTTATTGGCATCATTTAGCAAATCAGTTTTAGAGCCATCTTCTGAATTCAGAGATCTGTTGGAAAACTTTCCTTGTTTTTCCATGTCTGTTTCCATCTTCAGTGTCTTTACAGATGGTGTTATAATACTGCCCTTTATCTCCTATCAGTTTTTTGAAATGTCTTATTAAGCTCCTTAGTGAGATCATCAACTTTATTGACTTGGGCTTCTCCGTTTTTCTTAGCAATTTCCACCACCTATTCTTACATCCATTTTAATTTCTTGTAATTCTTAGTTTTTTGGCAGTCTCTTTTCACATTTGTCCTTAAGAGTTTTTTTTTATTTCAGTCCACAGTTCCTCATCAATGAGGTTTAGGACTTCAGAGCTGTTCTTGATACTCTCTTTGAAACTGATAGGTACACTTTCAAGATCATATCTTAGAAGCTGGATAGCTTTGTTCTGCTTTAGCTTGACTTGGAACTTGAACTTGGACAGTTGTACTATAGTTTTCCAACAAAAAATCTTTATACAATAATTCTTTTTACTTATGTTTAGGATAGGTTAAGTTACAGCCTTGCATTTTTCATATCAATTTGGTTCCCCTCCTTTTTTTCAGGCTTCTTGTTGTACCATTGAACACCTGTTAACTTCAAGCAAATAAAAGAAACTAGTGAAAATGGGGCAGGAGATCTGTAGAGAAGTAGCAAATGGAGAGAAGTCAAGATTTGGGGAGAGATTGTAGCCTGTATGGCTTTATTATCTTTAGATTAAAATCAAGTAATTTTAATTTCAGTTTAAAAAGCTCAACTCCCTCAAGTTAAGTAAAACTCCTGGTGCGTCTGTGGATAGGTCCATGTAGTTTGCTTGGCTGCAGTACAGAAATGGGTTACCATTGCCATCTTCTGGGGGAGAGATGGATTAATGAATAGGGAAGGATTTCCTAGTGTAGCCCTGAAATTTTCTGATTGACACTGATCCATGTACTAACCAGATTCATCCTTGCTTAGTTTTTTCAAAATCTACCATGGTCACCTAGGTGCTGTCACCTGCTAAGGCTAGCAGGATTCACAAGATTTTGAACTTGACTGATTTTGCCTTGCACTGCAGAAGATTACCCAGTGCTAATTTTTTCAAGTTTGGGATGCTGCCTCTTGTTTGTGAAAATAATCTAGTTTCCTTTTTATCCCAATGTTAAGGAGTTATTTAATATACTGTTTTTTCCAACCCCACAGACAGAAAGTGAAACTGTTCACTGCTCATAACAACATGACCAATTATGCCACTGTGTGGGCGTCAAAAACAAATCTGGAGCAACGGAAAGGACGGGCTGGTCGTGTCCGTCCTGGATTCTGCTTCCATCTCTGTAGCAGAGCACGTTTTGAAAGGTAGGTTAACACTCTGAGCTTCTAAATATTCTGGGGCCTGGTAAGCAATTGATATGGAAAAACAAATCAAAACACAGGTTAGACAACAGGGATTCATTGTGCTGGGGTGGGAGGGTGACATGACTATCCAGTACTGTGTGAACTAACAGCAGATGTTTTATAGCATTGGTAAGCTGATAGTGCAAGGTAGGTTTGTGTATTTGTTGTATGGTGTAGCAATAGTTTTTATGAAGAGCTTTTGCGATGAGGTAAGTATAAAGAATAACTTGGAGATCATTATTAGCAAGAATTTGTAGCATGAGCTGTAGACATGAATATATCCAAAAATCTCCTCTCTTATTTTGTATTGCTTCCAGGCTTGAGACTCATATGACCCCCGAAATGTTTCGAACACCACTGCATGAAATTGCTTTGAGCATCAAGCTTTTAAGACTGGGAGGGATTGGACAGTTTCTGGCCAAAGCTATAGAGCCACCCCCTTTGGATGCAGTGATTGAAGCAGAGCATACACTCCGAGGTATGTGTTGGGCTGTCTTGTCAATCAACATGGTGTAGGTCTTCATAGCTCCTGTTAATTGGTGAAATGAATTCCAGTTTATTTATTAATCCAATTTATATTGCTGACCATCTATCCAAGAAACTGGGCAGCAAAGAAGTGAAAAGCACAGGATTCCATTAAACCTAGAAACTAAATAAAACTACACTGAGGCTCAGTAAAACTCCAAATTACTAATCACATACACCCATACCAGAGCCCCCGTATTAACATCCTAACTCCAGTGACTGGGGGAGTAAGGTCTTCTCGGACTTGTGAAGGCCAGTAGAGTAGAGGTGTCCGTATTTGAAAGGGGAGGCTGTTCCGTAGGGCGGGGTTCCATAGGATAATGCCATGTAAGGTAGTGAATACGTACTGGTGTTGCAGTAGGTAACATTTAGAAGGTCACCCAATGTTTACCCTTGGCATAAAGCTAATATGTAGCTGTTAGGCTTAGTGTCTGTTTCTGATGCATAAATGAGTTATCTCTAGCAGTTCTATTGCTTTCCATCAAACCTGGTATTGCTAAACTCTACATTTGCCAAATCCCTCACATCTAGAACAGATTTAATGCAGCAATCATCTTCTGTTTCTAGACCTTTCTATTGACTTTTGCATTCTCAGGTCGTATAATTTCTAGGTCCCTTTCTGAAGTGCCTTCAGGTAGATCTCTTCTAGAAACTTTCTGCAGTTCTTTTTGCGGCCTGCTTGAGGCTTTGCTGCTACACAGCACATAGCAACTGTTCTCAACAAAATTCCTCGTACTGGATGGTTTTCTTCTTCCTAACTAACCCTCTCTTAGGGGTTCAATCAGCTATGGACCTTCTAATTATCAAAACTGTTATCCACTGAGAGATGCAAAAGGTACTTTTCCTTTATCTGAATCACTTGGAGTATAGATTTGAAAGCCTCTCATCTGTGCTGTCTTGTGTCCATTTCAGAGTAGCAAAACTAAACGTCTAATCTACTCAGTTACATTATAACTTCAGTTAGAGCTCATCATCTGAAGACAGAAAATATGCAAATAAAAAGAAGGATGTTTTCACATAGCTCTGTAAGAATTGTCATTGCAAAGACCAGCCAACAGCCTATGGAATCCAGCATTCTGTTTCTAACAGTATTTAGCTCTCCTTGCCTTTTGGAAAATTAATAAGCAGGGCGGCAGCAATGTAGCAGCCCTTCATTTTATTGCCAATTTTATTATTTAAATATTTCACCAATTGCAGTAACTAATGAAAAAATCAATTGAAAACCACTAGACTTTACCAATGTATTGCTTTTGTTTCAGAGCTTGATGCCCTCGATTCCAATGATGAACTGACACCCCTTGGGAGAATTTTAGCAAGGCTCCCCATTGAACCTCGACTTGGCAAAATGATGATAATGGGGTGCATATTTTAGTAAGTGATACTTAGTAAGTTCAGAAGTAGCTGGAAGAGGGGGATTCTGGATGAAGAGAATTAACTTTCTGATAGTCATGTTTATCTGGGAATAGTAAATTGAATACCACCAGTAATCTTTCTCCCATTCATTCCTTCTGTTCAACAGTGCCATTAGTTATACTGGAGTGTAGTTCAGCTAATTATTCTATGGCTTTTCTTTCAGTGTAGGTGATGCTGTATGTACCATCTCTGCTGCCACCTGCTTCCCTGAGCCATTCATCAGTGAGGGGAAAAGGCTGGGTTATGTCCATAGGAATTTTGCTGGAAACCGGTTTTCCGATCATGTGGCCCTGCTCTCAGTCTTCCAAGCCTGGGATCATGCAAGGTAATTTGATTTAGGGCAATACACACTGTGATATCTACAAGACATCCTACTTTATATAAAAAGCTCAGCATGTTTACACTTACATGGAGTGGCTTGGCTGATTCTCATCATTTTCTTGCAGAATGGGTGGAGAAAATGCTGAAATTCGTTTCTGTGAGCATAAGAGACTCAATATGGCAACACTCAGAATGACCTGGGAAGCCAAAGTACAGCTGAAAGATATTCTGGTTAACTCTGGATTCCCAGAAGGTAAAAACAAAAGAAAAACTTCATATGAATGTACAGGTAGTCCTGGTTTACTGACCATTCATTCTGCGACCATTCACAGATATGACGGTGCTGAAAAAAATTACGGCCCGTGATCACCATTATAGTCAGTACGCATTGTCCTGTGCCTGACCTGTGTTTTGTTCTTTTTTTCCCTCCTTGCAGAGCAGAGAGATTGGAGAGGGATTTCAAGAGAGTAAGCTGTTTGCTCTTCTGCACATCAAAAGCAATGTGATCATGCTGGCACCAGGAAAGAGTCAGGCAAAGGAGAGATTACCTATAGAAATTGCTTGCTTTTTTCCTCCCCCCCTCCCCTGCAGAGCAGGAAGATTGGAGAGGAAGAGATTTCAAGAGAGTTACAGTAAACTGTTTTGCATAGTATACCCATGGCTTCCAGCCCTGGGCTGCCAGTGCAGTCACATTGCTTTCAATGTATACAAGACATAAGCAGGCACTCGAGCATTCCAAAGGGCGGGGGAGCAGTTAGGAGGCAAACAAAAGCCGAAGGTGTAAAACTGAGTAGTCTTGTTTCTTTCCAGCTAGAAAATACAGTCACAGTCATATGATTTCCCACTTAATGACCACTTTGCCTAGCAGCGGAGTTGCTGATCCAAATTATGGTTGTTAAGTGAGGACTACCTGCAGCTATTTGTGATAGCACTTTTTTATATTCTGAAGCTGGTAAACTCGTCCCTACCAATTGTAAACTGAATTTCTTATCACACATAATTTGATCATACTTCATATTTAAGGTTTCTGGATGTGGAAGGTGTAGAAAGTGTGTGTGTATGTGTGTGTGTTACATAAACACAATCTGGATTTCAAAGAGTATGAGAAGAATTGATGTTCTTTTCCTATATCTGCTGCAGGTGTTAAGGAAAGTATCTTTTGTATCTTGTGGCACTGAGGAGGAAATAGGCTTTCCAAGTGTAGCTTATCTTAAAACAATAAGTACTCTTTAATTTATTAATTGCAAACAAAACTCTGTAGAGTGTATGTGTGCTTTGAGTTCATGCATTCCTGAAGATCAGACATGGATTGAAAAGTTTCAAATGTTGAAATGCTATTCGGTTTATATAATTAGTTTTGTGTATTGTTTGTAAGATGCTGAGAAAAGCAATTTTTTGGTCTCTTTCCAGAGAGTTTAATGACACAGACGTTCAACAACACTGGACCAGATAACAGCCTTGATGTTGTGATATCTCTTCTGGCTTTTGGTCTGTATCCCAACGTCTGCTTCCACAAAGAAAAGAGGAAGATTCTCACTACTGAAGGACGTAATGCGCTCATTCACAAGTCCTCTGTTAACTGCCCATTCAGCAGCCAGGATATGAAGTATCCTTCTCCATTTTTTGTTTTTGGAGAAAAGGTAAAATTATGAAAAAATACTTTGGACGATCAATTGTCCATGTGGTCTTTGAATATTGAGACATTAGGTGACATGTGGGTATGTCAGAAAGTTGCCATGCATGAGTCATTTTGTATATAGAACAGCTGATTTTGATTGGCCAGTGCCTGGCCTAAAATATGCAGGTATTAGACTTTGTGTGAAACAAAATGGACGTCTTTTATTCTAGGTACAGGGAACAAGGAAAAAGACAAAGACATCAGTGGCTGAGGGGAAGGAGGGGAGGAAAGGTACTAGAAAGATCACAAGGGTAGGTCAGAGGGTTATGCCATGCTGGAGCAGTGGCAGCTGGGAGAAGGAAGTGGAGAAGCTCAGAAAATAGAGAGGGCTAGAAGAATATGCCACAACTGGAAATTGCTAAGGGGAGAAGGTGAAATGTATACCAGGTTTGCCCCACCTGGATTTTGTTTCATTCAGAACCCAGGACAACTAAAGCAAGCCCAAGTTTCAGTTCTGTCAAAGAGTAGCTGTTTTGAAATGGTTTGGCAGAACCTCTAGAATGTGATGGTCTACTGCAGATTCAAAACAGTGCATTTTTCCCATTTCATTCACACTCCTAGTGACATATATTTGTTTTCCTAATAAAAAATATTTCCATCTGGATGTGAGGATTGCCTGTTTGGTGTTTGTACGTACTAGAAACCTAATTTTGTTTCAATTTAATCAGCACAAGTTTCTTTATTAATAAGTACTTACTAGTCCATATAGGCTGAGTTTTTACAATATTATCATTTTACTTTTTAAGAATTCTAGTTTGTGATTTATGGGCTTTGAAAAAAAATGTTTTCTTGTTTCCTGCTTATTTATTTATTGAATATTTCAATTTTGAGACTGCCCAACTCCATGCCAGCTCTTGGCAACTTACAGATAAAAATTCAAAGAAAACAAAATATATTAAGGAAAAAAAACTCATTAAAACCTCAAAGTAAAACAGCAAAAAACCAAAGGGGCTCGACCCCCATTCTAGCCCAGTGCCTAGGAGAACAACCAGGTCTTAATTAGTTTGCAGAAAGTCAGAAGGGTGGGAGCAGTACAAATTAATACAGTACAAACTAATACAAATTAGTACCATTCAAGTACTAAGCACATTCAGATTCCTGCTTGACTTTTTAAACATCAGTCAAGGTCAGATGGGTGCTGTCATCTGCTAGGACACCACATTCAATTATGTTAAGTTAAAGCATCACATAGATGGTAGTCTTATGTGCCACTTCGAAGACTTCCAATGAATGGGAGCCAAAACCTCTCTGAGTAGCTGAGTAGCTGTTGTATTTCATATTATACAATAGATTCTGTACATTTCTCTGTATGCAGATCCGAACACGAGCTATCTCTGCCAAAGCAATGACCTTAGTGAGCCCTTTACAGCTGCTTCTCTTTGGCTCAAAGAAAGTTCTATCTGATGGAGAGATTATTACATTGGACGACTGGTATGAACCTTTGGCTGACTTTATAGGATACAGGTGGTGTGGGAGGACAGGGAGAGGGGATTGTGAAGTTCAGTAGTTGGTTTCATAATTCATAGTTTCATTCATAATTCATATAAGCTCAGATTATACTTGTTTTAAGTGGCATAATACTTTATTTAGTAGTCCTTTCAGTTAAATAGATGTACTCCTTTATTGCTTTGTAAAAAGCTACTATGCTCTGGTTTCTTTTAATTTCTTCATTGTAACTGAGACTGTTTATACAGTGTAGTATTGGTTATTAGCACAAGACATTCAAGCTGCCTTGTGAAATATCTTTTCAGGGTCTTCTTTTATAGCAGTACTAAGATACTAAGTGGATAGGAAAAGAAATTTTCATTTGGTAAACTGCCTTCTTTGTTTTAGGATCAAACTGAGGATGCCACACAACGCGGCCGCCTGTATTACTTCTTTGCGTGCAGCAATGGAAGCTCTTGTGGTAGAAGTAACAAAAAATCCAGAAATCATCAGTGACTTAGACCCTATGAACAAACAGATGCTGAATGTAATTTGCGAAATCTCTAAACCATTAGCTGCTGGAATTAACCTTGCAGCAGGTGGCAACATGAGGTTAGCTTCAAGCTGTTATCATAGAATTATAATGAAATGCTTATCTTTTGATAATTTCTCTAGAGATTTGAAAGAAGTCTTCTTTAACCAGAAATTTTACAAATATGAGATCCTGCAATTAGACACCATTTATAGTGAGTACGAAATTGAAATAAATAGACAGATGACATAGTGATTAAAAGTATGGGATCCATAAGGATCCATATTAGTAAACTACTTGACATAATTAAAAAATAAATTGAAGATCACACAGCTAGATTTTTGGATAGATTCCAGAAGAATTCATTTTGGATAATAAAATAAGTTTGGATAATATTTAAAATAAATGCAGACTTAAAAAAGAAGCAGATGTGATTTAATGGCACTAAGAGAAAATAATACATAGTGAAAAAAATAATCCCACTTATACAGGTATATTGGTTTTAATAGTTCTTTTTAGGTCTTTGGGATGCTGATTAAGTCGGTACTGATAACAGGTACTTATCTTGCATTAACAGTTTGCAATGCCTTTCAGCATCCAGGTCAGCCATATCTTTCATAGGATGTGCTAACCTGGTTACAGTTATCTGTATGCTAGTAACCTTTAAACTGGACAGATGTAGTGCATTGTAGACAAGACACCCTTGAAATGTGTGTAGAAATTATAGTGGTTTCCAAATTTAGCAGCTACCCCTCCCACAGATTAAATATGCCAATTAATTACAGTACAACATTAGACTTTGATACTTCAGTTTGATTTTAAATTCCTGCATGGATACTGTAGTGACTTTACATATTTTATTTAACTCATTTTAAGGGTTTTTAAAAAATAATGTGAAATATTTACTGAAGGTGGTATATAATTCCTGAAATGAAACAATTCAAAAATCCTTCAGAAACAATGTTTTGAACTGTAACGGAAAGGTGATAAAAAATATACAGACCTTCTTCACCAAAGCATAAAACAAAAAGGATTTAAAAATAAGATGGCACCAGCCTTTAGTTTCTTTTTAAAAATATGGTGAATTTTAAAATATGGTGATTATGGAACACCCCCCGAGATCCAGCAGACCCCTTCTCTCCTGGCCTTCTGAAAAGCCATGAAGAACTAGCTGTTCCCACAACCCTTGGGGTAGTATGAAGCTGGAACCCAGGGAAGCTCTAAAGTTTTTTCTGGATGTGGGAGGACATGTTGTGTTTGAGGGCACCAGGAAGTTCTTTGTTGGCTTTTATGTTCTTTACTGTTTTTATTGTTTTACAGTTGTTTGTGAGCTGCCCAGGGTTATGCTGCATAAGATGGGTGGCTATGCAAATCTTTTAAACAAACAAACAAACAAATGTCTTACTTCCCCAGCTTACACAAGAGAATAGTAAAAGATACAGAAAGTTCTATATGTAGTATTATTTTTAAAGCTTACTGTTACCGTGGTTGAGGCTTTTGAGATACATATGTGGGTAAAAGTATACCTTTTATAAAATAACAAATAGTATAGAGAATTTTTGGCTGTTAAAACTATGATCAAAATACATAACTGTCTTAAAGGCAAAGGCACAATTTTCTCACACTTATAATTACTTAGATGAAGTAAGTGTTTCCTAGTATATGTACACAGTTGTATATTTGGAGGATTGCACCTATTCATCTTTGTAGATTCCCATAAAGAATCTTAATTTTTATTCCTAGGTTTGGCGATGGACCTCGTCCACCCAAAATGGCTCGATATGACAGTGGAGGTGGCTACAGAGGAAGAGGTGGAAGTGGCTACAGGGGGGGCTACCAAGGTGGATATGGAGGAGGATATCGTGGTGGATATAATTCTTACCGCGGTGTTTCTGGAGGAAGGGGATATTCAGGAGGTGCTGGAGGAGGTGGTTTTCGAGGTAGTGGAGGTTTTCGAGGTTCAGGTGGAAGATACCAAGCTGGAGGAAACAGAGGTGGTGGCTTTAGAGGGGGGTGGGGTGGTTACTGACAAAATGTTAGTGAGGATTTGTTGCACTTTGGATCTGAAGCTGAAAAAGAGCTTAAAGGAGCTCAGTCCTTTCCTGGGTTCCCATGTTAGCCACCTGATCTCTGGAAAATGCGTTTAGAGTCAAGATGATGCCAATAGCCTATGCCCACTCTGAAGCATCTTTTTGGCTATATCCAAAGCATGGCCATCCTTAAATGTTAGTAAACCCAGAGTAAAAGTTTGCATGATCTTGTTTTATTCCATACATTTCTTTATTTGTAGTACAGAACTCTTCCTGGTTTAGGAGTTCATCATACTTTGAAACATTAATTTGAAATGATAGTTATATGCAGTATTCAGATTATTTTAATTTTATATGTGTTTATTTTGATCCTAATAAAGTTGTTAATTTTTAATGGATTATGTCCTAGATATGGGCTTAAATATTTGGTGATTAGTTGTATGATCAAAAATTGTATGAGCTGGTTGATGCCTTTGGTACTAGGATTGCAAGTTAGGAGTTTAAAGTACTTTATCTGTTTAAACATTTGTTGTTTGTCACTTACAGCAACTTCTAAAATAAAAATACAGTACAACTCCAAAAATGTCATAAAATACAGTAAACAGTGTCTTTTGAATACCTGTAAAATAGTTAATCTGCCAACTCAAAATACACACCATGTATCCTTTTCTAAAACAAGTAAAAAGGTAGAGTGTTCAGCCTCAGCTATTAGACAGCTTTGGAGCAATCATTATACAAATTTTGCTTCCAGTAACTATAATTTTGTGCATTGTCACAATTTGAATCTTCCCTGTAGAGTAATAAAGAGAAACATGGCCTTCATGTTATATGTATCAGATATTTCTAAATGGGTTCATTTCACAAGAGAGTACTACATAGAATATTTTACAGCAGCATAAATCAACTAATTCTCAGTAGATATGAATTCTGTATGCTAAATAAAGCTGTTGAAATATGCTTTTAATTGTACTTCTCAGATAAAGTTTGGTAAAAAACAGTGCATTGGACTTTCTGCAAAGACTCTTTTCCTTCATTAGACAGTATTGTGGAAATCTGGTTACTCTTCCCAATTGTTCTACTAGGCATAACTAAAATATGGAGTGTGCTCCAGTTTGTGGAGCGTACTCCTTCCATCCAGTTACATTCTTGCCTAATTTCAGTTGTTTGTTGGCCAAGTTGCAGGTGCTGTAATAATTGATTATATTCACAGGCTGTTCTCAATAGCATAGAAAGAAGAACAGGTCCCACTTGATTAGAAATGTGCTGATATTGTGCCCTTTGTTAAACAAGGTGATAAGACACCATTTGAAAACTGTAATGGAATCAGTCCCCTGTCTGTAATTGAAAAGGTTCTTGCACAGGTTATCCAAGTAGTCCTATAGCCAATGTGAGAATCCTCCACCCAGGAAACTTTAAATCAGACCAGCTGTGTGGACCAAATTTATTCTGCCAGGCATGTACTAATTGCTGAGTGTCTTTGGAAGTGTCCATCAGGGTTCCAGTTGTTATTCAGAGTGGTGATAGATTGGATGATGGGGAAATGCTGGGCATACCGGAGTTCAGTGTGAAGTAGATGAGCTGAACTTCACAGAAACAGCATATGCAAATGATGTTTTCATAGAGAAATCAGAACAGGAGCTGTTAGATGTCATAAGCAAAAGAATAGAAACACTCAAACTGTGAATATACAAAAAAGACCAATGTGTCAGCTGATGTCACATGAGTTAATCTTGCCCTTAGAGATGAGCCAGTTGAGCAGGTGGATGAATTCAAATACCTAGACTCTTAAAATCTCTGCATCAATAATTGTCACAACCACTTATGTTCTTGCACAAATTGGTACATTCAAGTGGCTTTCACCAGCTTATGATGCTGCTTCTGGAAGAATACGTTACCTGAAAGCCTGAAAACAAAAATTCAAGTATTTAAGGGCTACTTTTGCTCTATGCAGTGTAACCTGGACACTGTTTGCTCAGTACCCAAAAAGGTAGGGGTGTTTCAGATAAGATGTTTGAGGACAATCCTGGGCATCTTTGCATGATCAATGGGTGGAATCGGCATTTGATAGATACGGAGTCAACAGCTCATAGATGAGAATCATTACTTCATAGATTTGGAAATGGATGTATCATGCTTGCCTAGGTGACTCCTGGGAAGGCAACAGCCCCTTGGCTGGAAGCTAACAAAAAATGCCCCCCCCCCCCCAAAAAAATCCTGGATCAGCCAGAGAGAGACTTAAGCAAGGCAGTTATGTTCTAATGTCACAGGACTTGCAGCAGCTGCTCAGGACAGAAAACATTGGAAGGGTATTTTCAGGGACTTATTAGCCATGGTCACCACAGCTCCAGTGGTGATATCCTACAATTTGTGAGGCTGCCTTGTCTGCACTAGAGTACATGAATGTTTGAATAATTCCAGAATGCAGGATTCTTAGGAGACAGGTCCTTTTTAATGTCACCAATTCTTTGAGAATGAACTGGGTGCTGGGTTTTCCTCTATCCATTTTCATTTTTGTTAGCCACCCTGATGCTTATCTGAGCAGAAAAGTAATGTATAAATCAAATCTCAATCTGCCCAATAAATACCCCTCAGCCATAAAATGGGCTAGGGTAGTGTATATCATCCCAAATGTCTTACAGCATTCTGCAGCTATGGTTTCAGCCACTTTGCTATAAAAAGGGGATATAGCATGGCCTATAATTACATATATAGGACATATATATAAGTGGCTATTTGAGGGAAATTACTGCATCTTTCGGAGAAGATGGAATTCTTTTCTTACCCAGTAAAACGTTCATTATGCTTATCAATTTTTCTAAGTTGATTATGGCTTGCATTCACTGACCACAATGGGTAAAGGTCTGAACAGTAGACAGATCTGGTTTCTATTGTGATTGGGCTCATACATCACACTAATCCATAATGTGGATGGGGTCATTTTGACTAAGCGCATATGATTAATTCAGTTAAATACATGTTACTGCATTCTTATTAGTCTTTAACCTTTAGGGCCTTTACCATCCAATCAGTTCTTTGATATAACTCAAGTGACAGCACAAAGAAGATTGAATTTATTGCCATAAGTTTCACTTTATAGGTGTGGGAATGGATCCAAACCTTCCACCATTGTTACTCAACTTGTTACGTAAAGCCCAAAGAACTGCAGCTGTGTAAAAGGAGTTAGATTTGCTGAACACCCCACCCCACCAAGCTACAGTTTAGGGGGTAGCTTCAAACGTACCAGGCTTCTTAATGTGGTTCTAGTGTTTTTGTTAATCAGAGTTGGAAGGGTGATTTAGGCCACAGAGGCTAACCTCTGCTCAGTGTATGAGTACTTAGTACTAGTCTTCCTGTAATTTAAATCCAGTCTTTTGTATCCTCTAGTCTGGAATAAGAAAACAAGTCTTCACTTTTTTTTTTTTTAATTAACATCCTTTCAGATGTATTATATTTCAGTCTATCTTTAAGACTAACATAACCAACTCCAAACTCTTTCCAGATGACATCGTTTCTAGGCCCTTGGTTTTCTTTGTTCTCTCTGAATCCTTGAAGTGTAGAGCCTAGAATTGGACACATTAATTCAGGTGAGGTCTGGCCAAAGGAGAATGGACTGGAACAATTATGTCCATGATTTTGAAATTACATGTTTTAAGTTGATACGCAAGTACTGTTACCAAGCCAGATATCCCTATCCTATACCTATGTTTTTTTGTCCACTCATGTCAAATTTCCTTCTGTTCCCCTATAAGGTTCATTTGAAATTATCTTCTAGGGCTAAGGTTCTTAAACTGATTTGGTCACAAATCATGGGGTCACAAGCAAAGGGGACTGCAAAATTACTTGAAAACTCATCAGGCTTGTGCAGGCAAAACAGCAGCATGATCAGGATTGTCTTCTCCAAGCCTGTGAGGAGTAAAGCCCAGAGATAATTTTGAGAAACGGTTAAACCCTTAGGTATAGAAATCCGTCAAAACATTTGCCAATTACAGCATATCATTTGGCATTATTAATTAGGGGATCATACAGATTCTTTATCTTTTTTGAGTATTGCAGCACTGCAAACTTTTAAGAGCCAAGACTAGCTATCCCGCTAAATATTGTGTCATTTGGTAATTTGTTAAGCATCCTATTTCTTCATTCAAAACAATAAAATACTAAAAAGTACAAGATCATCCCACTGAATTCCTCTCTCCAATTTGGTGAAGAATCAGATGAGCACTTTCAAAGTATGATTTTTGAGCCAGCTTTGTATCCACAATAGTCATGCTGTTCAGCCCACATTTAAATTTTTTAATCAGTATTTTATATTATGGGATACTTGGACAAACGCTTTGCTGGGGGTCATGAGATATTTTATATATGTCATTCTCACAATCTATTAAGGAAACAAATTTTGGTATGTGGTTTGCTAGACTTTTCACAAATCCATGCTAACTGCTGTTGTTTACAGATCGATCTGTCATTTGCTCTGAAATATTTCATATATCAGTTACTGGCTAGTCTGTAGTATAGTGGCACTTTTTTCCCCTCCTTTTTGAAGAGGGACATTTATTCTCTAGTACTGGACACTTCAACAGCTCTTTGGGATTTTTAAAAGATAATACATAAGGACAGTTCTTTCAGTACCCTAGAATGGAATTAACCTGGTCCTAAATTCATTGAAAGGGGCATTCCCTGACAGTGTGTCTTTTAGTCTCATGCTTCCACTTTCATCTTGCTCTTCAGTTTGGCAGGATGGCAAACTTCAGAATGGCAGGGCATGTCCTTTTTTGTGTAGCTGTTTTTCTTTTTGCTTCTTGTTCACATTTTGCTGTTTTCACAGAGCAGCTGCCATTCTGATTCTTTTATTTTGAACACATGTAAAGAAATCCTTTTCATTATTAGCATCCTTTGCTAGCCTCAGCTATATTTCCTGGCACCAATTCTATAGTTCTATGCTGCTTGACTGCAGTCTTCCTTTGTATACTGGCCCTCTTTCAATTTCCTATTTGTAATCCCCCTGCCTCCCAGGCTTTTTGCGTAGCTATACTGGTCCTTCTACTGTCCTCATTGGAATGTTTTGTGGTGTTTTTAATATATTCTTTAAGAACATTTGCCTAAGCAGTTGACTTGCAGCTATTGATAGGGCTTGTGCTAGAGAGCACCAAAACCAAATACCTATTTTTGTATCCTTCTTTTGAACATGGTTGGTTCCAAACCAGTCATAAACAAAATCTGTTGAAATCAATAGTACTAAAAATGGTCAGGACTAAAGATATGTCTTGACTAGCTTAGGCCCCCTGATCTAGTACTTACTATATATGAGTCAAGTCATGAGCTAATATTTGCTAAACACTGTAATTGGCAAATGGAAACTAGCACTACAAAACACATTTCTTTTTTTTAAGACAGCTGCAGTGTAGTTGTGGTAAACTGGTAGTGTATACATTATTGACTGTAAATGATGAGTATGAATAATAAACTTTCCTTTTAGTACAGTATAATCAAAATAAATTTCTTCTGTGAATTCCAGTGTGTCTTGGGCACAGATGGGGAAATAATGCCTCAAATAACTGAAGCCTATGAAGCTTCAAAACACCAGGTTTTGTAGTACAAAACCTAGATCACATGGCCTTTGTTTTTCCTGGGCAGGAGGAAGAGATGGTTAATCCATTGTTGGATTTCTCTTGTTATGCCAAATCAGAAGGAATCTTTATAAACTCATACTGGAACAAAGTCCCAGTCTGGAATATAATGTAGACAGAGAAGTCTTTGTCACAGACTTTACAAATTAGGACTGTTCCTAAGGATGCAGTTTCTCCCTTATTTTTTTAAATTAGTATAATGCTTAAGCTTTATGGGGACTGGTAAAAGAAAAATCCTATTTGTCTTGGTATCGAATATTGCTATTTATAATGTACTAAAAATAAACTTGATAAACCCAGTTGATGCAATGATATATAGGTTTTAACTGTTTTTCCTAAAGCCAGCCTATCCTAACCTTTGTAAGGTTACATTCCTAAGTAATACATATATGAATATGTTGAAAGGGTAAGTATAAAAGTCAACCTTTTAATTTATTAGATGACCACTGATACAGGAGGCTATTAGATAAAAAAATAAGTTTAAATGTTGTATTTATACCAAGCTATTCAGCTTTCTCTTTACTTATGAAATGTTTATAAAGTTACTCTTGTGTTTTAACAGTATTTATAATTCATACGTTTTTTTAATAATGTAAACTTTTCCCTTGTGCTACAGCACATGGTTGAAACCATGAGAGACTGGAGCTTCAGTTAACTATGCTGATGCCTTCAATGCTGTCTTCCAGTGTATTAGCATTTATCTGAAGGCTCAGTTCCTGCACCAGTTTAGAAACAGAATCTTCTCCATCTCCTGCTGCAGCACATTCCGTGGTTTCTTCTGCTGCAGTACCCAGCTGTTCAGAAGGCTGGATAATTGTTACTCCATAGCCATTGTTACTGTAAATATGATTGTTTTTCATCCTTAATTTAGGAGCAGGGAGGATCTGTTAAGAAATTAACATTTTGTTTATAAAGTCAATCTTTTTAACTCAGTTATCTGTTTAAACATAGACATCATTTCAAATTTCCCAGTATGTTTCTCTTTCATAGGTATTTGAAGTAGATTGCAACTGAGTTCACAAACTCGGCTTAGCCATAATGTACTTTCTTTGGCTTTTGGTTTAGCATGTTGTATGAATCCAGCCAATTGCAAAATGTAGGCCATCGTGTGTGGCTTAGGACAGAAGTGACTAACTCACAGCTCAAGTGCAGCCCTGCAGGACCTCATTTGCAACCCCCAAGCCCCTCCAGAGTAGGCAGGATCAATAATTTCAGACTTTTAAATTGTTTTTTGTGAATTGGGTGGGACTAAGGGAGAAAATAAATACATTAAACCAGCCAGCTCACACAGATCTAAAAATGTTGTCTCTTATTCATTCTTTACATTACTAATGTGCCTGAGACAGAAAAGTGGACCCCGGTATGAAAAATGTTGCCCAACCCTGATTACTGAAATCTGTAAATGAAGTTTAGTTAAAAAAAAAAAAATTAAACAAATGGCTGACTCTATTATGTGAGCCCCAGCTTATGAGAGTGACAATCCATTATCAGCAATGATTTACCTTAATGTTAATTCCACCAAGACTACCCCGTGAAGAGTCACTAGTTCTGAAGTTATTGCAATGGTGAATTTTGCTACCCTCCAAAGTAGCCACACTTCCTGGATATAACTCAACACCAGCTCCCTGGGTATAAAAACAAATTTTAATGTAGCTGTGATTAATAAAAACACTAGAAGTAGTTCACTGCAAATAAAACTTCCAAACCCACCCCAAATAAGTCCCACCTTCTGCTCCCAGTGTGTTGTGACCACAACTATTTTGATTATTGCCCCATGCTACAGTCCTATTCTCAAAAAAAAAAAAAATTAAATGCAGTTCCCAGCAACCAAAAAATTGCGAACTCTAGGTTATGATTTACACGATTATAAATTTAATCTTGGTTAAAAAAACTTAGCAGATGTGTTTGACTAATATGTAAATTAAAAAGTTCAGTTAATGGTATGTATACTGATATTTTAGACTATATGCAGCAATTTAAACCATTAAATCATTGAAACCCCAAATAACTGCAATTTTGGGTTCCCCTAAAGTGGGATGTTTCATAGCATTACATTCTGATTTCTGGAAATCATGCCACAAAACTTCATTAAGAAGACATTTGTGAATGAGGAAAGGGGGTAAAATGATGGTGTTTATGTCCATTAGTTGAAGGGTTGGGGCTTTTTTAGTTATAGTGTCATGTGAATATAGCCAGCATGATTTATTAATCCCATCTATGACTTAGCACAATTTGTGGACCATCATGGAAGTGAGCCAAGATATAGAAGACTTTTCACTTAAATGAAGGACTATTTATCCTATTTATACCAGTGGAATGAAGGTAAACAAAGATTTACCCACATATGGGAAAAAAGGACAGGTTGACATTATTCTGCCAACATGTAGGCTTTCCATGTGCAAGGGCTTCCCAGAAGAGCATTCAAATATATATTACACCTATACCAACTGTAGTTCAGTTCAGGAAAAGCTTTACTATTACAGTCTGCTGGTTGTTTGAATTGTTATTAACCTCCTTTAAGTATTTAGACTGAAGATGGTTTTTCAGTTACTGTACATCCCTTCTCCTTAGGGACCACAGTCAATAGCAAATCTATAATGAAGATTTCCTTGATTTATATACTAGTTCTACTGTCCCAACATTAAGGAGAACCAGTTTTATGACTCTCACTTCCCTTATCAGGGATGGCTGAAATGTAACTGCTAGACATCTGATTTCTTTTATAATCATTTGCCAAGGCCTCCATGGCAGGAAAGCCCTAGAAGATCCATGACATAAAAATTGTAATTTCCCTATGCTGGGGTGGTTGGCAAGACATTTGTAGTGGGAAAGAGAATTTCCACAATCTGAATTCTTTGCGCAAATACTCCAGAGGTGTTCTCTAAGCCACAGCAGTAGATATTTAGATTTTGACTAAATGGTCCTATTTCTCCTATAGGCTCCAACTGCTCCCCCCAAAAGTATGAACAGCTCAATCGCCTCTCAAAGAATTAATGTTACTGCCTATTGTTCAGATCCATTTATTGGCAATATTGCTGATAAATGCCTTCTTTATTTTTAAAAAGAAAAGGAATTTTAAAAAAAAGGTATGTTGTAGCCTAGGGGAAAAGGAACCCGAAGACAGAGAAAAGCAAGAAAAAAATGCTTTGTTCATATCCTTTAAAATTATAAAGGCTACTATATCTATTGCTTTTTGCTGCCACCTGGAAGTGGCTAAAATATTTAAAAATTAATGATAAAATAATCAGCATGACTGGACTATTGCAGCAGGAAACTGGAAAGGTCACTCAACGATCAACATTTACATTAAACCAAATCTAGGAAAGAAGTTTCAGTTGAGATCACCTTTAGAATCTGTCTTGCACCTTACTAGGAAAACTTGCTTCATGTTTTTTTTAAAAAAATTGAGCATGGCCAAAAGATTACATTAAAAGTTTGGCTAGAAAGTAACTGAAATCTCAGGGCTACCAGATTGGCACTGCAAAAATAAAGATGATTACTAGATGGCAGCAAAGAATTAAATGTTTTCTTGTCTCTTTCTCCCCTCTAGTGTACCGGTTCTTGTTGCTCAACCTACATAAATGTTTTACATTCATGCATACATGCTGCATCTTGAATGAACTGAAAGAGAATATACCTGAGCTCCAGTAATTTCACTATTTATAACTGTCAGTGAAGCCCCGACAAGTACACAAACACCAGTCCCTTCACACTTCAATATACAATTCTCCAAAACTGTGTGTCCAGATTCAACCACAATAATTCCATCAACAGTCCCTTGCTGCAGCAATGTAATATTCATTAATTTCACATTTTTAGCCCTGGATACTACAAAACTCTCATTAGCAGGTTCAGAAACTATCACAATTTCCTCTGGTTTTCCAACTCCTGTATAAAAGGGGAAAATTACATTAAAAATCAATCTAAGGTATTAATACATCGAACAGTGAAAGTGTAAGAAAAATAAAAGGGAAAAAGAACTGTTTCTAAGTTTTTAAAGTAATCTAAAACTCTATTTCATAAATACCAGATATGAAGTATATGGTAGTGATAAAATGGTCCAGTTGAAAATTTTAATGCAATTCTATAATGAGAACATACACAAACTGATGCAATGGGCAATTCCTTGCCTGATTTGGCAGTCAAGGCTGCTCATATGCTGATCAGCAGCAACAGTTATGATACTTTATTCAAGTTGGGAAAAATGAGCAGAGAGAAATCCTATCCTCATTATTACTATTATTTTATCCTGCTTTTTAAAAATATATATAACTCAAGGCAGTGAACACTAATCCGCCTGCCTATTTTCCCCACAACAACCACCCTGTGAAGCGGGTTGGGCTGAGAGAGAATGACTGGCCCAAAGTCACCCAGCCAGCTTTCATGCCAAAGGGAGGGCTAGAAGTCACAATCTCCTGGTTTCTAGGCCAGCACCTTAACCACTAGGCCAAACTAGCTGTTTCTTTCTTAATCTTTCTCCTCTGCAAATGAATCCTCTCAAGTTGGAGTGCACTGGCTTTTCCAAAGTATTAAAAATGAGGATGGAGAGATGTTTGCATTTCTCCAGCCTCTCTTTCTTGGCTTCATTAAAAAAAAAAGCAACCTTCCCTCATACACAAGCAACAGGAAAGAAAATGTTTAAGACCAGTCAAGCAATTAATTTAAATGTCCTCTTTTGGAGGGTCCTGACCTCTGGAATTACCAGAATACTACTCAGACTCAAAGCAGTGGTATTAAGGGAACTGAGGTTGAAGTTTGGGCACAGAATAGTACCCTCAATGATTTTTAGTTATTCAAATGATTTGAATTTATTGTGAATATATTCAACTACTTCAGGACTCATGTATTAAGAAGCTGTGACAGATTAAAATAAGAAATGTTTTTATATTTAAGTAAATTTCCTCTAAAGTCTAAAAACCAAGACAAGTCGTTCTATGAAATATTTTCTTTCAGCTCTAACTCATTTAACAGAAAATCACAGCATTCCTTCAATTTGGCAACTTTAAATGCAAAAAGAGAGAGAAGAGAGAGAGAGAGAAAGGAAGTATACTAATGCCTTTAATAATAATATCTTCAGTTAACATGGATAGGTTTGCTGCTTTATATTCTCCAGGGAAAATAAGCACATTATCACCACTATAACAGCTGTCCAAAGCTATGTTTAGGTTATCATTCTGTTGGAGAAGTGTGTCAGATGATAATTCTTTAGCCTGGACATATGAAAGAGGAAAAAAAACATAACATTGGGAATTAAGTGAATCTTTGAACATCAGTTTTACAAAACTTTTTTTATAAAAACCAATTTATTTAACAAAAGCAAAATAATGTATGTGCTTATTTATATTATTTCTTCAGATAGTCAAATTTATCCTTTTAAAGTCTGAGTTACCTAAATATAAAATTTAGAAGTTTAACACAAAATTCAAATAATGTTGCAATGATTCCTAAATTTATTTCAATTCTATAAACAGTTCCTGGGGAACAAACCCCACTGAATGCAATGGAACTTAATTTTCAGTATTACTGTATATATAGTATTATATTGCAATACAGCACAACAATAACAAATATTCTCTACAGACATTTCTAAAACATATGCAGGTTTAATTCATTAGTGATTTTAGAATCTGACTTATTATATTGAATTAGTGTTTGCAAATGTTTGCTGAGACAATTTTTCCATGTAGAAAACAAGCAACTTTCTTCTGTAAGATTCATGAAATATCTGTACAATAGCATTAATACTGTTGTACAGAATAACTGCACCAGCACCAACTACCATCTTTTTATTATGCCACTGAAAAATACATTAAAACACTGACTAGAAAGAATTTGCCACACATTTTCTGGGTGGTTTTAATGCCAAATTAAACTTTCTGTATAGAAGGCTTCTGCTGGTGCACACAATCAGAAACAGGAGATTTCACCACAACATCTCAGACATTCAAAACATGATACAAAGCCTCCAGGACAAAAACAGTAACAACAAAAAAGTGAGCAAGTTAGACTACCTATCAGAGCCAGAGAGGTAACACTCAAACTCCACTAAGGAACACCAAGAGCAATATAATTTGATGAGGGAATTTCCTACAGATATGCAGGATACAATCAATATAAACCTAGCTCAAGAAACCATCTGGCATCCAAACATACAAACCAGGCAAAACTTAAACATTCAATAATTTCAAGCATAGCACTATCACAACTGGGGTATCTACTTCTATTGCCATACTGTATTAATTTAATTTAAAACACTAGTGTGTTTGTAAAGCAAAGTGCTAGTCTCAAGGTTATTCTTTATTTCCAAGAATGACTCTAGAGACATTCTTACCAAAGGGAAATATAGGAGCCTGAAGTCAAGAACTGTACTTGAAGTATACCCATTTGTCCAGAAAAGAGGTAGAAAAAAATCTGATGTGATGGATGGCATCTGGAGAGACTAAAGGAAGTAGTGGTAAAGTAGTGGTAAAGTAGTGGTAAAACAAGTTGGTAGGATGGGAATCTGACAAGGGGGTTGCTTCTGGAGGTCTCAGAATTGTGGCAGAAATGTTATGATGAGACTGCAGATGTATTATGCTCTGTAATAAATGACCTGGAAAACCTATTTTCCAATCTCTTGAGGGGAAAGGGGTAATACATGCAGTCATAAGGTTAAAGTAAAATCTCATGATGGTGCTTGAGAGAGTCTAGTGCAATAGCAATCTCTATCCCAATTGACTCTGCAAGGTAATCAGGAATAACAGATTATGGAAAAATCCTGGAGTCCAGGATCCAAGCTGGCATCTTCATCTCAAGGACAGAGGGATTAAGGAACAGCTTTCATCTCATGCTGACCCACTGCCACTGCAAATTATCAAAATTGGGGCTATTATAGCAATTCTCAATCTAAGGGTAACTTGTATCAGCCACAATGCTGCAGAATTGGTCACTGATGCAGCCATAACCAAGGCCCATGCTAGAGAAGCACACTCTGGGAAAAACCATTCCTTCAAACTTGTCTACCAAAGTACTGGTAACATGGATAACTTTTTACAATGTGCCCTAATCCCTAAGACAGAAATAGCAAAGAATTGATTTGTAGATAGCAATCTTCTGCCACACTTAAACCTTTCGTGCAAAGACCCTGTGATAGGGTTGATGCAAAGTAGGACACATACTGTACAAAAATAAACAACATAAGGAAAACAAGCACTCAGAAGAATCTACATTCTGCTGTTTATGTGGCAGTTAAAGCAAAACTGAAGAGACATGGGAGAACCAAACACAGGAGAATATATACTGTGAATTTACTCTTCCTGCTAAATAATGCTCTGCAGCTCTAGAAGATTCTGCAGAGGACTATACAAGCATATCAATTATTTTTAGAAATTAAACCATGAAAAAAAAAATCACATACTTCCAATTTCTATCTAGAATACACCATAAAATCACTGTCTACAGCCAATCTACCATGCCAACTTACTTAAATATCTACATAAGGCGTTTTTGATATTATAATATGGACTGACTGAAGTGAAAGGCAGCACAACATTGCTATGTTGGCATTCAGGTATACTCGGTGACAAAAAAACACGTTAATTGATGACCTACAATTCACCTTGGATGATACTTCTTTCTTGCTGGCCCTGGATGGCAAATCTCTCCTATTTTTCAGGCAATTCTCCTAGCCAAAAATAGTTGTTTTCAGCAACAAAAAGCTAGGGTAGGTAAATGAGATCTGCCAAGGTTAATTCAATACATCGGATTAACTAGGTTGATTCCTGACATCTTAGGCCAAAATATATTTGTCAGTTTTTACAGTCCCTAAAATAGCCAAAAAAGACTGATATTCAAATTAATTTTGCAATATGTAAATGTTGGCTTTCATCTTCTTTTGTAGAATTAAAAGATGCAGCTTATGAAAATAGTTTAGCAAAAGAAAAGGAAATACAATATAAAGCCCTTTTCTGTATACATGTGCTAGAGAATTAAACATGAGAGGATGCACCACTTCCTTTCATCCATACCACTATCAAAAAGTCATTAAAGTGATGGCTGAGTGAACACTGCTGCAAAAAAAAGAATCCTGTATGATGGTTCAAACAGGAAGGTAAAGTAGCTACTTGGTAGTGAAAGTAATGATAAAGAATTTATCAATTTAATGATTTGTCATTAAAGAAAAGCAGCAGTGAGGAACATCTATCATCTATCTACTTGGAGATTTCTTACCACTTCTGCTGTCACTGTTTTCGCAACAATGTAAGTTACAGTTTTCCCATCATCTCTGTGTCCTTTTCTACGTTTCAGTATTCTTGGGGCCAGAGGTCCATGAGCTCTGAAATTTAAAATGAACTCTACCACAATTAACTTTAGACCAGTGGTTCTCCACCAATGGCATATGTATCACAGGTTGGATAGTACAAGTGGGATACAGGATAAGGCTTTAATTAGCTCTTTAAAAACATATGTATATGATAAATATGATAACATAATGCCTGAAAAATAAATATGCTTCTCTTGAGAAAAAGGGTGTTTTGTTTCTATCATGGTGAATCTGATATTTGATATACTGAAAGGTTGGGAAATCCATTTCAGAAAGCATATCCCAAATATACGTATATGTAAAGAAAATTTATTTAAATACACATTTTTTTCATATTTAGACATTTAGATACAGACATTTAAACTTCAACAGTTAATCCTAATTCAATTTATCACACCAAGAAAGTCTGGCAATACAACCCTTAAAAATAGAAAGTGAAGAAATTAAATAGTTAGGATTTTTTATTTTTTGCCAAACCTTATCTATAACTGAAATAATGAACTGTACACATTAAAAGGCATGCCATGGATCCTAACATACTCTCTTTTGAAGAAACGAAATTTGCATTATAAATACGTAAAGTTTAAACTGTAGCTTAAATAATATTTGAAACCACTTACCTATTCTAAAATTAATTTAAAAATAATAGCCAAAAACTTATTTTTCTAAGATATTCTGAAGGGGAAATTAACTTTTTTAAAAATAGGAAGCAATACATTCTATTAGAATTATTAAATCTTAAACTGGGGATACAACTAGCAAGGGATTTTAGAAGTTCGTTTCTTTCTTGTCCTGTAATAATTTTTACACAATTCATTCAATAGCAGTATGTCTGTTTTTTTTTAAAATCAAAAACAGAATCTGTTGTTATGAATTGCCAAATTAAATTAGCTTAAATATTTTTAAATATGTTTAATTTATACAGCTTAAAGAAAAAAGCAATGTGAAATTCAGGGAAATAAAATTTATTCTACAATATAAATTGAAAATAGGACTGACTGACGTTAAATAAGATAATTTTTTTTTATCTGCAGAATTAAATGAATTTAATTTTCTATAACTCATATTTTCTAATGTTTGAGTTAATAAAGGCAAACAGTCCTTGAATATTTTAATATGTGTTCCATTTAAAATAAATTTGCACTTATCAGTATGATCTTTCTACATATTACTTATGAAAATAATTAGTATCATGAAAATGTATTAACATACCATTGTTTCTTAGTATGTTGCATCTTTGTGAATTATCAGATTCTGGCATTCGAAGCACATTTATTTATGGCATGGGAACTAGTGCTCAGAAGGACAAAAACAAACAGCCTGATAGCCTTCATCAAACAAGGAATAGATGGAAATGATTCTCACCAAAAGAGAATTGTTTCTAGCTACTTACATGAAGCAGGCAGGAGAAAGAGGCACAAGAATTTAACACTGATTGTGGTATAAACAGAACTAGCATTAGATACACAGCAGTCATTGGAATTATTTTGTAATGGCACTCTTAGCATTTCTACAATAAATCAGAAGTTCTTATGTTCTTGCATGTCTGAGTATCCGTCTCAGTCAAGCTTGCCTGAGAAAAGCCTAAATGTGTTTCTCACCAGTTTTAATGGAATCTAATTTATAATGTATATTTAAACTAATTACCTATATAATTCCCACTGTATAGAAAAGTAATATAGAATTAAAATAGCAAACATTTTAAATGATAATTTGCAGTACTATGCCCATTTGGTAGTTACTGAATTTCCAGTGGAATATGTTGCTGCGTATTGTTATTTTTACAGATTGTAATTCTGCTATTTTATTGTAAAATGTGTTTACGTTTTAACCCATTTTTATGATGGATGGAATGTACAGCACTTGGAATTGCCTTCAACTGGAACAACTTACAAACCCAGCAAAATAAATAAATAAACCTGGCAGTAAGTCCACTGAATTCAAATGTGAATATACATGTTACAACCTCAGATAAAAGTTCCTGCTGTACACCACACTCTCAGGACAAAGGGATGCAGTGGTTAAGGTACTGGAGGGGCACTGGGGAGACCCAGATTCAAATCTACCCTCAGTCATGGAAGCTAACCAATGATTTTGGGCCAGTTACTCGAAGCAATTTCAGAGTTATCATGGGGAAAAATGAGAGCACAGAGTACTACGTACACCACATTGAGCTCCAGATGGAAAGGCGAGATATACATTAAATAAATACATTCTAACAAAAATATTCTGGTCTATACTGCAAAATCTGTAATAGAGAGTTTAATCAGTAAAAAAGTGTTGATCTGTTTTGGATAATGGAAAAGTAATGGGCCAAAGGGGAACTTACCTGTGCTCCTTTCTAGAAACATTTCAGTTACAACAATACTACCTTCTTATCAACGTATGTTTGTTAATAATTGGGAATATGAATATACAAGATTGACTCAGCATTAGTCAGTCTGTGTACAAGCATAGCTAAAGTTACAATAAATTTAATCAATCTTCTATCAACATACATGGGAATAATGAACACTGAATTTAACGGAACTTATTTCTGAAAAAAAACATGTAAAGAATAGCATTAAAGAATTAGCATTTTTACAACTAAACCATCATGTAATAATTAATAAAAGCAAAATCATTTTGACAATTATCAAATAAAAACATTAGATAACACATCAAATGAAATTACCTTAAACGTAAATCTTCCCATATTTTCAACAAGCCACACAGCATTATTAGTTCATAATATTTTTTCCAACATTCAACAGCTTCTTCTGCTGTGGGCTCCTCTTTGATATTACTCTGGTAATGAATTAATTCCAAATGCATGCTCTTGTATTTTTCCAAATTTCTTCTAAAACGATGGGCAATTGGAGCTGGAATAATTCCATTCTGAATATCACACCAACTAAAAAAAAATTAAGGAAATAGAATTTCACTAAGTAAATGTATACAATAAAATCAATTTTATTTTATTCTTATAACTGCAAATAAGGTGGTGACTATGGGTCAGAATGCTACCACAGCAATCTCCAGTCTGAACTCCAGGAATATGAGAGGGCAATCTTGATCTGTATTATTGCAACGTGAATGTGTGAAGAGGAGGATGTTCCCCTCAAACATGGATTTGGGGTTTGGCATTAGCCACGGACTAAGGGCAGAACAGGGTTGGCAGTTGTCATACAGAAGACTTTGATGTTCTCTAGAGATACTGTTCTGCAGATAACCATATTATCTCCTGTCCTATGCAAGCCAATGCAAACACAAAGCAAAGCAATGACAAATCTGAGAACTATTACTTCTGTATTGTAGATCTTTTTTGACAGGATCCAGCGATATAACAAGTATTTAGATACAGAGCAATTAAGGTTTGGTGAATTCAAAATGTTTTTAGCACCTTATAACCTGAGTAGTTTGGAAGCTGCAAACAACAGATAGATAGATGATAGATGATAGATAGATAGATAGAGGCAGATACATAAGAAGAGTCCAAAGATCTAGAGCCAAAGAGTTTCATAAGCCAGTACAAGAGTCCTGTTTGGGGTTCAAATACAGGAAAAGGGACAGGAACAATTTTGAGCAGATGGCACAAGAACACAGGTCTGAAGCAGAAGAGTTGTTTCCAACATGGGAAGAGAACATGGAAGTTACTGTTATATAGCCCATGTTGCTGGAGCAGCTTGATTAGGGGAGTTATTTACTTTCCTCTTGAGGATTGTGCTGACCACTTTTGTTCTGCCCTCGGCTTCCAGGGGGCTCAGAACCTGGTTCCTTATTATCTAAACCAGCCTGCCAAATCTAGTCTTTTTTGTTGTTGTTGTTTGTCTAGTGGCAGATGCAATATGATCTGAGGGTGGCAGGTCTGTTCCTTGTCATGGTCAGCTATCTCCGACTGCTATGGAGTTGACTGGCGCCATCAATCTGCAGAGTTGATGGATTTTTATGACTGGTCTGATTCAGGTATGTAATGGAATTATTTGGCTTCCAGAGGGCACTTGGGGAGGTTCCTGAGGCTATGATAGGCAATTCTGCTGAGGCTTTAGTTGCCTGCTTGAATAGAGAGGTAACAATAGCCTTGGGCAGGATTGGGTCTTAGCAGTGTCTCTGGATCTGCCAATCCAATGGAACTCTTTAGTATACTGATAAACTCTGGGAGATGAAGCAAATCAGGAGATGCCTAGTGTGCTGCTAATGGAAGACAAACAGCAAATCAGACTAAACACAGTCTAGTTACAGCTCACTTTCAAGCCTACATCATGGTAGTAATAGCAAAAAATCAGTATTTCTCCACTCACTGTATCAATAGAATGACTGCCAGAAGCTCTTGGACCCTATTAGGCAATGGGCTAGAAAAATATTTGTTGGGCCATTGTGAGGAATGTTATGGGCATCTGGAGGATAAAATTGCTCAGATCCACTTGCAGGATACCAGCCGGACAAGCCCTGATGGGGTGACAGAGATCATGCCTAACGAAGTTATTTAGGATCAGTTTGAGCTTATAATTTATGAGGAAATGGTAATGTTTTCTGAGGCACTGGCTCTGACACATGTAGTCTGGATCCCTACCCTTTCTGGTAGGTGAAATAAATTACTACAGCAGAGTCAGGGTGGTGTATCCTTGAGAGAGTGGGTAATGCCACCTGTCTTGAAGGAGGTGACCATATGCCCTTTCCTCAAGAAATTATCATCTGACCCAGAAATTCTGGATAATTATTGACTGGTCTCCAACTTTCCCTTTCTGGAAAAGGTTGTTGAGAAGATGGCAGGCCTGCAATTGTAGAGAGCTCTAGAAGAATTAGATTATCCAGATCCATTCCTGTCTGGGTTCAGTCCTGGATATGGCCTGAAACTACATTGATCATGCTTGTGGATGACCTCAGTTGAGACTTGTACAGGGAGAAGGTAATGCTTCTGGGGTTGCTTGACCTCTTGCAAGCCTTCAATAATATCCAATATATTATACTTTTGGACTGTCCCCAAGGGTTAGGGGTGGGGCATTCTTCTTCAGTGATTTTCCACCTTTTTAAAGGGGCAGTTCTAGTCTGTAGAGAGGGAGATTGAGCCCTAGATTCTTCTGTTATGGGATGCAGCAGGACTCAGTGCTCTCCTGTTCCTATTTAACATGTAGGTGAGCAAGGAGCAAGTTCATCCACCCACAGAATGTCAGATACCACCAGTATGCAGATGATACTCTATCGCGTATCTCAATTCTGGGGTGAAGTTTTTACCCAGTTGTTGTCTGGTACCTGGAGGATGTTAGGATCTAGTTAGGGAGAAACAGTATTAGGCTCAATCTCAGCAAAACAGAATAGAGTCCTTGGGGTTCTCTGAGCCTGGATGTTTTCTTGCAAATGTTTCATTACCTGGCACTGAAGATGTTACCTAGCCAGGTAATGAAACGTTTGCAAGAAAACAACCAAGCTCAGAGAACCCCAAGGACTTGTTTTCTTGCAAATGTTTCATTACCTGGCTAGGTAACATCTTCAGTGCCAGGTAATGAAACATTTGCAAGAAAACATGTCCTTGGGGTTCTCTGAGCTTGGTTGTTTTCTTGCAAACGTTTCATTACCTGGCTAGGTAACATCTTCAGTGCCAGGTAATGAAACATTTGCAAGAAAACATGTCCTTGGGGTTCTCTGAGCTTGGTTGTTTTCTTGCAAACGTTTCATTACCTGGCTAGGTAACATCTTCAGTGCCAGGTAATGAAACGTTTGCAAGAAAACAACCAAGCTCAGAGAACCCCAAGGACTCCACAGTTCAACCCTGAGCTATATATATTCGCTTTTACTGGTAAGACAGAATCGCTTTGGTTTGGAGGACACACAATCTCAGGGAGATTCCATCTTTGGTTCAGTATGGGGCTGCACTCTCCCATATGGAACTAGATCTTAATTTGGGAGTCCTCCTTGACACATAGCTTCTGCTTGATAAGCAGCTGTATTTGAGTTAACTGTGCACCAGTTATAACTCTTCCTGGAGTGGGAGACTTTCCTCAGTCACACATGCCCTAATTACCTCTGGCATGAACTACTACAATGCAGTCTTCATAGGCCTGCCCTTGAAGAGCATTCAGAAGCTACAGCTGGTCCAGAATATAGGAAGACAAATCTCACTTCACCTATATAACATCACTATTTCAAGAGCTGTACTGGATACCAGTTGGGTTTCAGGTGTAATTCATAGGTGCTCATTATCACCTTTATAGTCTTAAATAGGCCAACGCTATATATCTTTGGGACACCTACTTCCAATTGTATCTGCCCACCCAATAAGGTCTGGTAGTGTAGGCACTGTGTATCCTTTATCTTAGGGAATAGGGTCATCAGGGATCACAGAAATGAGCTTTCTCAATTGCTGCCCCCTTTCTATGGAACAGCATTCTCCCAGAAATTAGAATGGCTCTCACCCTATTGATTTTTTAGAAAAGCCATTAAAATTTGGCTGTTCCAGGAGGTCCCAGGGGTTGGGATGTTTTAATGATGTCCTCTCAGGTTTTGGAGTATTTGTCAGACATAACTGATGATTCCGTTACTTATATATAGATAGGTACTTTGATTCTGGTACTGGAATGTTGTTATATTTGAACCAGATTTATGGATGTTGGATAACTCTGTGTTGTCTATGACTGTAGTAACATGCAAGTCTAGTAAACAAATATATAAAAATAAACTGAAGATGTTATTCATATAGGGTGCTTCTCTATGAAAAAAAGCTAATCTTTAATGTGGATATGTGAGAGTGTATATGTGTATTTTGGTGGGGATACATTTTAATATGACAGCTTCTACCACCACTCCAAAGTATGATTGTTCAAATACTGGCTTACCACCCCATGTCCTGTTGGTGAGAATTAGGCCTATGAAGTATTCTACTTACATTTTAATTCTCTCTTCCATTAGTGCAGCATATGTCTCACTATTTTCATCATCATCCCAATCTCTCCAAAGGAAGTCATAGAAAAATCTAAATAAAAACCATTGTGGTATTACTTTTATATTTTTCTGTTCTAATAAAATTTCCAAAGTTAAAAAAAGGGTGAGGGGAGTGAAAAAGTATTATACAATATAGAAAGTGACCATTTGTTTTAATACTTCTTGATGTACTGTATTATATAGAGAAAATATATCTATAGGTTGCCCTCTTTGACTTATTATTTATGCTATAGTAGATGCTGCATGTTATGTTGTTCATTTACCGACCAAATCATCATTGTGCGAACAGTTTCTTCTTTAATCCTACAAGCTACTTTATGAAATGTGGATATCTCTATATATGTAAATATGTACTAAAGTTTTGTTTTGGGTTATTCTTAAATATCCTTAATAATTATTTTAGATTGGGGAATACCACAGACATAGTTTACCTGAACCTCAACAGAACATTTAAGAGAGTGCTCATAATATTCTGTTTAACAAAATGGTAAAATATGGGCTAGATGATACTACTGTTAGATGGATGGATAGTTGGCAGAATGTCCAAACCCAAAGAGAGCTCATTAATAACTCCACTTCAGCTAGAAGACAAGTACTGAATGGAGTGCTACAGGACTCTGGCCTATTCAACTTTTTTTTTTATCAATGCCTTCTATCAAGGATTTCAGAAGACATGTATAAAGTACACAGATGACATAAAGCTGGAGGGGCACTAATACTTTAGATGAGAAAGGATTTTAAAAGATCTAGGCAGGCTTAAGCAGTATGATGAAATGAATAGGATGGAATTTAATTCTAGAGTAAAAAGGATGACCTGGATGGAGAGAGAGGAGATCCTTAATACCAAAGCAATGAAAAGGGAAACACTGGTTAAGTCCAAACAATTAAAAAGGTATGCATAGACACACATGCACCCACCAATTCACATCAATTTAAGAAAGGGAGCAGGTAAAGTATAATCAGACTTGCATGATTCTGTAACTATAGCCAATCTTAATAAAAGTAGTTTTAGTCTTAACCTGGAGTTGATTTCTTGGTGTGATCTACATCTTAGACCTGACATTAACTCAGAGAAATGTAAAGTTCTCCATCTGGGTATGAAAAATGTAAGGCATAAGTATAGGAAGAGAAAGCCAGGGTTTGGAAGTAGTACATGTGAAAGGGATCTGGGTATCCTTGTCAACCACAAGTTAAACTTGAACCAACAGTGTGATGCAGCTGCTAAATAGGCAAATGGTACCATGGGCTACATTATTAGGACCACAAAATCCAGATCGTGGGAAGTAATTGTTCCCCTGTATTCTGCCCTGGTCAGACTTCATTTGGAATACTGTGTCCAGTTCTGAGCACTACAGTTCACAAAGGAAGTGACTAGTTAAAGCAAGTTCAAAGTAGCCATCAATAATACACAATTGAAACAATATCACCATTTAGCAGAACTAAATCACTAAAAAATATTAAGAGCACTTTACTCTAATAAACTATTATTTTCATCAGGTTTATTGTTTACCCATCCATTTCGGTATTGTTGTTTGTTACCAAATCTCCAAAATCTCATACAGATGCTAGGGCCAACTTTATGTGCTCTACCTCTGGATTATGGTTACTGATTTCTTCCTCAACTTCAGAAGTTTAATACATTTTCACAATATCTGAATCTTACTTAAATATTTTCAGTGAAATATTTTAGTTTTTTAATCAAGGCAATTATAAATCCAGATTAACATCAACTTAACATCTTAACATTGTAAAAAACAACTGTTTCTTAAAACAAACATTCATTATTAAGTCTGAGAAAAACATACCTCACAATTTCTAAAGCCTTGGCTATATCAAACACTATACTATCCTGTCCCTCAACAGGATATACTTCTAAAAGAGGCACACAATAATCCATTTCTTCTAGTACTTCATCAACTAGTTGTTTTGGAATATTTGCAATATTAGAGGAAAAGGGTTCAGCTACAGATACAGAAACGTTGAAATTAGCAGAGGGACTACTGGGCAATTTACAAGTAACCTAGAATGTAAAACAGAAATAAACAATTATAATGTAAAGCTGATATTAAGATTTCTATATTTTCTAATTCTTTTGATTTTTATAATATAGAAACCCAGTTCAGGGCAGTCATATATTCGAAGTATATAGTAGCTCTGCCTTCATTATGTTACATCACTGCTAAAGAAATATGATGACCGTGCCCCTACTCAGGCATAACTGAAGTATAGCAGGGATATGGAATTTATTTTGGCCTGTTCTTCTGGTTGAAAGTACCTCATGTCTATAGTGCACAAGATCACTCTTCAAAATTTTCCTGAGGACACTTTCACAAACAAATCCCATTCACAATAATATATACAATACTGCCAAAAATATAGTCCATTCAGCAAGTAACTGCAGTATATGTCAATCTTTAGGGTAGGAAGAGAGTTTTTTTTCCTAAACTGCAGTATAAGGAATACCTTTTTGAAAGACTGAAGCATAAGGAGGTAAGGAAAACACTGTTTAGTGCTTCCAAATATCCCTGCATACTGCAGTTTGCTATTTAAAAAGCCCCTATTAGAATCAATAAATTGATTTGGAGATTGCAATATGGGACACAGAAAACTTTTTATATTCAATCAGCAATTTATCAGAGGTAAGAATTTGTCTCTGCTGGGGAGAAGAAATGTACAATGGAAGTAAAGCTGGCAAGCCCCAGAGAACATATCCAACTTATGGTCTTAAGCCTTGAAAAGCTCTACCCATTATACTAGTATACAATAACATGTGAACCTTTCTAAACACTAAATTATTTAAATCAAAAAGACTTTTAAAAAGGACTATAATCAAAATTCACTGTGTCAGACCTAATGATTATCTGTGGCCTGGACGGCCTCCAATAAAAAAGAAAAAAAAAAAGAAGACCATCACTTCATGCTGGCAGACATTATGCAAGACATTCTCAGTCTTTTGGATGATGTTTATAGTTTTATTATGAACCTTCTAAACAATATTAAAATACATTTAATTACCTCAACAAGCACTCCAATATATGGTATGGGAATTTCTTCAGAATTGACAAAAAACAGTTCTGGATTGGTTTTCCAAATTCCAAGCCAATTTTCCTTCATCTTCAGCTTTTCCACAAGATACTTACTCACAGCTTCATTGGCATCCTCTGCCTTTTAAACAACAGAGAAGAAATATACATTTTTTAAAAAAAGAAAGAAAACATAATTTTGTATTTTTCATTTGTAATATATAATTGATCCTTTTCACCTCACAATGATGTGAGCTATTCAAGTGTATCTTAATAGTAGTATTGAGAATCCAAATTGGGAGATAAAAGCCTGTCAATCAGCAATACTGAAGTGTCTAATAGATCTCTTACTCTTGCAGTATAGCAGGCCACTATAATATTTCTATGTATACATTTATTACTACCCAATTGCATTTGAGACGATATATCTCCAAAAGGAAGAACAATCTTTTCCCTGTTTACTTAGATGTCTGATTGAGATAAGTAGGATTTACATTCAGGTATGGCTGCACAAAAGTGCAGTCATATATACAACATGACCTGACGGTCTCTTTTTTCTGCTGCATCCCTACTGTGTCATACTTATTCTCATCTGCAGTCCATAAAGGAAATAGTCATATTTAGCTGTGCTGAGTTAATATAGTGTTTTTCTGCTTAATCCCAAAGCATCAAATGACAATCTGTAACACTTTGCTACCTACTGCATCAGAAGTGAAGACATGATAAGATCACAGCAGCACATATTCGCAATTTTGTTTGATGAGCGCATAAGTTGCTTCCTTGGTCTCTGGTTCAGCCTTAACTGTTGCTGTCTCCCTAACAGAACTGCACAATAATGCTAGATAGCTCAGCTGGGAATACTGTAAAGGGTCTAAATCTATGGCCCTTAATAGCATACGATTGAAATAGCAAAACAGTGCACTTAATGTGACCAGCATCCCCACTGCCTCCTGAAAACAGCATGGCAGAATTGGGAGTCAGCATTTGTTGCTTATATAAACAAAGAAAAGAAAGGGACGCAAAATCTTCACTAAAAGTGCTCCTTTTATAATTCTGTCCTTTTTTTCTCTTAAGTTTTACTTAGCTTGAGTTACCCCAGAACGAGCTTAGAGATGACAGACGCAGTAATGTCAGACCTGTCCCAATCAGTGCCATCGTTGTTGGATGTTTTTACCACTAGCTGCTGATGTGCAGAAACCAACGACTTTGCTTATCAATCACTGAATATACAAAATCAGGACAGTCATCAGAAGCAATACCACCAGGATAAGGATCAGCAATAGGGGCAACACATTTCACGCTATTGCTGTTTACTGCCAACTGAAGGGTGGGTGGTCAGTACTTTTAACTTGGTAGTGGAGAAAAGCCTGCAGATGATACATTTTAAATAAGTCCATCTTGTGTTTGGCATTACTGATTCCATATACCAAATACAGTGATGACAGAGCAGATACAAGTCTGGATGAGTAGAATTAAAGAGGGACTGCATCCCTTTTGGAGAACCAGATTCAAACATATCCACAAGACTTAATGGACTCTCTGGCACAGAACATATTTTTACCACCTTATGCTGGTATCTCAGGTACGATCTTATCTGGAAAAAAGCTATTTTACCTGATTCATACTCTGCTAACTGTAACATGCTCTTATGTGGGGCTGTTTTTGACATTCAGAAGCCATAACTTCATTGCAAAATATGTCAATGAGAAATTTTACTGGGACTAGGTGGTTCATTTCAAACATGCCCATTCTCCTTTGCTGGTGCTGCCTCCCACTTCGTTTCTGGGTTGAATTCAGAAACTCTAAGGCAGTTTCTCTCAAACTTGCGGCAGCCATAGATCACCCAAAAAATGTTCAGATAACGCGGGCACCACCCAATTCAACAAACATCCCTTCCGTATGTTCTTCTCTAAGAACACGGATAGGGATAGGTAAGCATATGTGTATATTTCAGCGGATCCCTTCGGAGAAGTGCAGAAAGCTCCTATCGCCACACGAGGTCGGGGCAGAGGGAAGATTACCCGGGCACGGGCTGCCCTCTCCCCGCTTCTGACCCACCTTGCAGCCCTTCAAGAGATCGTCGCAATACAGCGCCACCTTCTCCCGCCCGGTCAGCGCTCCCAGGTGGGACGGAAATTCCTTCGGCAGCGGCCCAGCTTCCTCCTCCCCGAGATCCTCCTCCCCGCCGAGACGAAGGAGACGGTGGCCCCTTGTCTTTCGAGGTGGGCTTTCCGCTGTGCCCGGGGACGGGCCGGCAGCTCCCCCTTCGTCTCT